TATCTGAAGATAGGAATTTATGATGATTATGATGATTATAGAGAATTAAAATGAAATAGATTGACTGGCAAGAAATATTAGGGTCAAGAAGAAGAGTCTGAGCCGGGTTTGGTGGCTCAGTCTGTAATCCCGTGCTTTGGGAGGCTGAGGTGAGTGGATTGCCTGAGTCCGCAGGCTCAAGACCCGCCTGGGCAACTTGGCAAAACCTCATCTCTACAATAAATCAAAAAATTAGACAGGCATGGTAGTGCGCGCCTGTAGTTCCGACTACTTAGAAGGCTGAGACGGAAGGATCGCCGGAGCCCAGCAGGTCGAGGCTGCGGTGGCCAGGAGCATGCCACTGTCCTCCAGTCTGGGCGACAGAGACTCCAACTCAAAAAAAAAAAAAGAAGAGTCTGCATATTTGAAATGAGGAACAACAACCAGGAGACATTGGGGAAAACCATTTAGAGTTCCGAATCTGTATCAGTTTCCCAAGTATCAGAAAACCTCATTTTGTGGTTTACTCAACTGGTGACAGTTATAATTCGAAATCTCCACACTATGCCAAGAAACTAACAGAGTAATCAGGAAGAACAATAAAAAAGTATCTAACTTAAGACTGAGGAATCAGAACATGATTCTCAGGAGAAGGAGCCTTACACTAAGATCTGAGGGATTAGTAGACGGAGCTGGTAAGGGCAGAGGATGGAAGCTCTCAGGTGCAGAGAACTACTTTTCTTTTTCTTTTTATCATTTTGAGTTGGAGTCTCACTCTGCTGCCCAGACTGGAGTGCAGTGGCTGCTCCCGGCCACCGCAGCCTCAACCTGCTGGGCTCTGGTGATCCTTCCGCCTCAGCCTTCCAAGTAGCTGGAACTACAGGCACGCGCTACCAAGCCCGGCTATTTTTGATCTGTTGTAGAGATGAGGTCTTGCCAAGTTGCCTAGGCGGGTCTCGAACCTGCGGGCTCAGGCAATCCACTCACCTCAGCCTCCCAAAGCGCGGGATTACAGGCTGAGCCACCAAGCCCGGCTGAGAACTACTTTTCAAAGATCTAGTAAAAAGAAAGAGAACATAACAAATTCCCAGAACTGAGACTATTTCTGCATGGCTAAAGCATATGGTATAAGAGAAGGCAGAGAAAATGAGGGAAACAAGAGAAATAAACAGAAATGATTTCATAAAAAGCCTTGAAGGCATGTTAAAAAGCTTGAACTTTACTGTAAGAACAATCATGGGGTTTACACAGGGGAGTAATATGACCAGATTTAACATTTTAGAAAGGTCATCCTAACTTAAATATGTTAAAAGGATTATAAGGGGGAAGGCTGGAGATGGGAAAATCAGTTAATATGCTACTGCAGATGCTGGTGATAGCCTATCTAAAGGAGGGGAAATTCTAGAAGGAAATATTGTTAATAAACAAAATAGGGAAGAAGTAATATTCAGAGATAAAAATTTTCCAGAACTGATAAAAGACACTAATCCTCAGATTCAGGAAACCCAAACATTCCACATAGGCTTAAGAAAAAAATAAAAACAATAAATCCATGCCTAGACACATTCCAGAGAAACTATAAAGCATGAAAGACAAAAAGAAGCAGATAGAGAAAAGAAAAATAAACAACAATTAGACTAACAGATGACTTCTTAACAGCAAAAATGGAAGCCAGAAGTCAGTGGAATGCTACATTTAAGAGCTGAGAAATTACTACTATAAAGCAAAATAAAACATATGCTCTGAGCTGTGAATACAGTAATAATGAGCAGGGCTGGGCATGGTGGCTCAAGCCTGTAATCCTAGCACTTTGGGAGGCCGAGGTGAAGGGACTTGCCTGAGCCCATGGGTTTGAGAACAGCCTAGGCAACTTGACAAGACCTCATCTCTACAATAAATCAAAAAATTAGTCGGCACGGTAGCGTGTGCCTGTAGTTCCGGCTACTTGGAAGGCTGAGGTAGAAGGACTGCCTGAGCCCAGGAGGTCGACGCTGGGGTGGCCATGAGTGTGCCACTGCACTCCAGCCTGGGCAATGGAGTGAGACTCCACCCAGAAAGCAGTCTCTAAATATCACTGCCCATTAAAATGTCAGAATGAGGAGAAACTGATCAATACCATAGAATGAGATTTATCACATCTCTCTCAGTAGCTAACGGAAAAAGAGAAACCAGTAAGAAACAAAGAAAATGGGAACACTACAATTAACAGTGTATGTTGCGTACATGTACATGTAGGTGTAAGCTCATGTATACATTTCAGGCTGAAGTAAAAAAAAAGTCATAAAAGCATGACAGTGGAAAAGTATAGGATTGATTCAGGGAAGAGAAGGGAGTATGCAGTGGGTGACACTGCTAAAATTACAGGTTAGGGAAGTACTGGAGAATATTCTAAATGCAGAGATAAGGCTCAAGTAATAATTGAATGTTGATGTAATAGGAGCCTACAATGGCAGGGGAAATGAAAAACAAAAAATTGAGTATAAACTAGATTTATATTACCAAAGCAGAAAGATAAATGAGGCGAAATAGTACATGCAGCATAGTTCCTCTTTATTTTAAAAAAGATTGTTCATACACATGTATAAATGTTTATATAAATATAAAAGTTTGGAATGGCATTTGAAAGCCTTTGGGAAAAGGAAGGTAATATTTTCATTGTTTAATTATTTGTTTTACATATTTTTGGCTATTTTTTTCATTTATAGTCTACTTGTATTGCTTTTATAAAATAACATGTAAAATGAAAGATTAAAAATAAAAAAGACAAAATGACTTCCTAAAAGATAAAATACTCTCCCAGTATTTGAGAGATTCCACAAAAGGAAAACTTAGAAAATAAATTTCCTAAATTTTCACCAGAACTGAACAATATGCTAAAAGCATCATCTGTGGCAATTTTACCTTGATAGTTTTTTTTAATAGATGGGGGTCTTACCACATTGCCCAGGATGGAGTGCAGTGGCTGTTCACAGGCATGATCATAGCACACTGCAGTCTCAAACTCCTGACCTCAAGCAATCCCCCACGTCAGCCTCCTATAGCTAGGACTATAGGTGTATACCACCATGCTCAGCTTACCTTGATAATTTTTTAATCAAAAAAGTTAATGCAAAATAAAACGTAGTATATACATGTTACAATTTATTCAACATAGAGATTATAAGAAAAAAAATTATTTGACCCCATGTCCCATCTAATTTTGTTAGGGTAAACAGTGTTAATTTAATATATACTATTACACATTATTTTCAATTATCATACATAGATCTTAGATTTGTTCTGTTTTCATAAAGAGAATTATATACACATTATTTTGCATCTTGCTACTTATTATTCATCAGGACAATTTTTAGATTTATTTACCTACAGTTGCAAAAACACATTTTTTTGTTTTATCTAAGTGAAATGGTTTTGCTTGGTTTTTTTTTTTTTAGTTGGAGTCTCACTCTGTCACCCAGGTGGGAGGGCAGTAGCATGCTCCTGGCTACCACAGCCTCAACCTGCTGGCTAAGTTCTTTTTTTGATTTATTGTAGAGATGAGGGCTCGCCAAGTTGCCCAGGCTGGTCTCAAACCCACAGGCTCAGGCAATTCTCTCACCTCAGCCTCCCAAAGTGCTGGGATTATAGGCATAAGCCACTGTGTCTGGTCTTGTCAAGAATATTTTTGTTTCTTACGAATGAAAACACAACAACCTGCTTACCACAGGCTAACAGTTTTTTTCTGTTTGTTTTTTTTCTTATTTGTACAATACAAATAAGCTACAATTCAATCATCGAGTGTGTTTAAACTATCGGTAGTCCAACAAAAATGAGCCTATGTAACAACCTAAGACGTGTTCCCAGGCCAGGACAAGTCAGTTCCCCTGACAAGTCCCTAGGAGGCTGCAGGGGGTTATCGCCCCAATTCAACTGATAGTTTGGATCTACTGCCTCAAATACTACTCACAGGAATTAAATAAAGTGACCTATGAAGTCAAAGTATCCACTCACATCTCAGGAAATCTCAGTCCTAAGAAACCAGCTTTTTGTTGAGTCTACCTTTTACTATATACAGGATGGGCCTTTCACCAAAGACCAGGAAGAATAGCCATTAAAGTCTTAATGTATAAGGAAATTATCATAACAAACTCCAATTTTCCAAAAATTTACTAACTTACTCTCATCTATCATCTTTTTCCCTAGCAAAAATATAAAATTATTTCCCTCACTGAAGCACCATCCTTCAAGAGTTAATTAGTCATAACTTACTACTTCATCATTATATAGCCAGGCCTTAAGCCTATAATCCCAGTGCTTTGGGAGGCCAAGGTGGGAGGACTGCTTGAGCCCAGGAGTTCAAGACCAGTCTGGGCAACACAGCAAGAATTCGCCTCGACAAAAAATCAGCCAGGTGTGGTAGGTGGCACATGCCTATAGTCCCAGCTACTTGGGAGCCTGAAGCAGGATTACCTGAGCCCAGGAAGTGGAAGCTGCAGTGAGCTCTGATCATGTCACTGCCCTCCAGTCTGAGCTACAGAGTGAGAATCCGTCAAAACAAAAACAAAAACAAAAACTACTTCATTGGTATATTAAACCTAATCCAGATTAAAAGAAATTACAATGTGTAAAAGAGACACTATACCAAGACACTCTGACAACTGTTGTTATTACCCACTCTCCTGCCCATCCAACATAATCCACCACTCAAGTGTTGTTTAAATATACACCTCACTTTTATGTATGTATGTATTTATTTATTTATTTTTAAGAATAGACATATTCTTAAGGCAATGGACAAACTACATTCAGGTATTTTGCATCTATTTTCTTCAAAATTCCCTACAGTTCCAAAGAAGAGATGATTCTTTTTTGGCCTTATACACTGTCATTAATATGACTGATTTGTGACTCTAACATAATAAGAAAAAATGAAAATAATAAGACACAACCTTGCCAGGAATACATTTTCATTAATATGACACAATGAAATCATTACTTTCTCCCAAATTAACACCTATTGCCAATATTCATCCAAAACTTACCTCGAGTTCTTTAATTTTTTCTTCTGCTATTTTCTGTTTCTCTAACAGCTGATTGTGAATTACCTCCTTGGATTGAAGAATAAACCTATAAAACACAGGAAAGTTGAAAGTTAAGCCACATGATAACTGTATTCATCAAAATCAATAGCTATATACCACAGATATTAAACTGAGAAAACTAAAAGGACAAATAAAATGTATTGTTATGTTGATGTGAAACTCAGGAAACCACCACAGGTTTTAAGTCTTCTAGCTGAGAAGGAACAAAGGCTTAAAAAAGTAGATTCTGCTTTCTTATTTAAGAAGGGAATAGGGCTGGGCACAGTGGAGTATGCTTGGAGTTCAGCTACTAGAATGGCTGAGGCAGGAGGATCACTTGAGCCCAGAAGTTCGAGTCCAGTTTGGACAACATAGTGAGACCCTGTCTCTAAAAAAAATAAAATAAAATAAGGAAATTGGACTTCAAGTAGATTCACAAATAAAAGAAGAAAAAGGGGGAAAAAAATCACATGCCAAGAGAAAAGTCAAAATACAAACAATAAAAATTCATTTTTTAAATGTTTTCAGTTATCGGATTTAATTTTTATCTAGAGATTTTTAAAACAATATTTGTAACGGGGAACCCCCCTTCTTTTTTTTTTTTTTTTTTTTTGGTAACAGCAGTAACTCATGACCTTTGAAAGTCACAATCAAGTACTGTGTTAGGATCAATGCATTAGTGTTCATGAGTTCCTCAAACAAAAAGCACTGTATAAGCCCTAGTATCTTTTATTATTATTTCCAGAGTGTATAATACCTCTGAAAAGCTCAAAATGTACAAGTGGAAAACTTCAATTTTTTCCATTTTACAGTCAGGCACATTATTTACCACTGATGAGGGTGGAAATACGAGGAAGCTTTAAAAATTAACACTGAATCTGTTTTATGACTTTATGTTCACAATTCTTGCTGAAGGGAAAGGAAGAACAAACTTTTATAGCCCCAAGTAAGTGAACTGAAATATTTCCCTTCCACTGGAACCAAATGAAAACCCCAACTATTCAAATCTCTTTCAGGACTGTCTAAATAGGTTAAAATAGATTTCAATTAAAGACTACAATTAATTAAGCAAGATTTTTATTCTTTTGCAATAACTTAGAGTTCGGGGGGAAAAAAAAGCTAAGTATCATCTCTTAACAAAAAAATCAAACAAAAAAACATATTAAGGTAGCAGTATGCAATACCTCTACCAACCCCACAAAAAAACACTGTGCCTAGGTGGGTTCTTATCAAGAGGGCTTGTAATTATAAGACAAATTAAAAGCAGACCCAAAAAATAGCAACCAACTATACCCTGACACCTGGGAGGAGACTGCTTTATCCTCCTCCTTTTCTTCATGAATGCACCTGGCCACACATACTAATACAATCTGATGAACTTCTCTTTCACTCTGCTAATTATTAAGCTTGTGCCCTGATGTAGCCAGCCCAGATAATTAAACTGATGATCTTAGTCTTCAGTAGTAACTTAATCCTTTATAAAAACCTTATTCATATTTACTGGAAAGATAGTCCAGATTCATGCAAAACAAAGATTAATTCTAGGTCTTTTACTATAGAATCCTTCATGTCTAAAATGTTCTTATTATGAGACAGGTGCTATATCTGATAAGATATATAATATTTTTCTCAGAACTAACTCATGCTAGTTTTGGTGTTTTTTTTTTTAAGAGATTGTGTTAGGATCAATGCATTAGTGTTCATGAGTTCCTCAAACAAAAAGCACTGTATAAGCCCTAGTATCTTTTATTATTATTTCCAGAGTGTATAATACCTCTGAAAAGCTCAAAATGTACAAGTGGAAAACTTCAACTACTCTGTCATCCAGGTTGGAGTGCAGTGGTGTGATCTTGGCTCACTGCAGCCTCCAACTCCCAGGCTTAAGTGATCCTTCTGCATAGCTGCACAGCCTCCCGAGTAGCTAGGACTACAGGCATGTGCCCCATGCCCAGCTATTTTTTTTTTTTTTTTTTTTGTAGACACAAGGTCTTTCTATGTTGCCCAGGCTAGTCTTAAACTCCTGGTCTCAAGTGATCCTCTTGCCTTGACCTCCCAAAGTGCTAGAATTACAAACATGAGCCACTGTACCCGGCCCATGCTAATATTTAAGGAAAAGAGTTGTTTTGAACTATATCAAATCTCAATAACACCATGTAAGAAGTACTATAAAATAAGGTCCAGCAGGGTGCAGTGGCTCATGCCTGCAATCCCAGTACTTTGGGAGGTGGAGGCGAGAGGACTGCCTGAACCCAGGGGTTCGAGTCCAGACTGGGCAACCTGGCAAGACCTCGCCTCTACAGTAAATAAAAAATTAGTTGGGTGTGGTAGCCCGTGACTGTGGTTCCAGTTGCTTGGAAGGTTGAGGTGGAAAGATCACCTGAGCCCAGCAGGTCAAGGCTGTGGTGACCATGAGCACACCATTGCACTACAGCCTAGGCAACAGAGCGAGACTCCAACTCAAAAAAAAAAAAAAAAAAGGTCCAAGAGTCACCAAATTATGTCATTACATGTATGATTTTACTAAGAAAGTCTTTTAGCCATGGAAAAAATTTTCAGAGTAAAATATACATTTTTAAATAGCACTGATGGCTGGCCAATGAGTACTAGTCTCAAATAATAGGTCATCAGACATCATCTTTATTAGTGTCTGGGAAAATTTCACAGCTAAGATTAGAGGTCAAGTCATTACTTATGTGGTCTTTAAAAATAAAGTATCTGAACAGATACTAAATCCCTTGAGCAGAAAATAAAATTACTAGAAAGCAAGAACACTCAACAACAAAAACATGTTTTTCCATGGCCACACATTCTCTGAGGTAGCTAACTGGACTGTGCCAACTTCAAAGGCCAGAAAGATTCCATCAAAGCTGGCCAACCTACTACTATAAGCCTAAGGACAACTCAACCATGCAAGTTCTAAACAAGAATGTGTTGAGTAAACACAAATGTTTACCTCAAAGAATAGTTACGTAGTCAAAATTTAAACATAATTTTTATGGAAAGTTTGGTGTAGTACTCAACTTAAAAAATGGCAAAGATACATTGTATGGAGATTGGAAAAAGTCCCAAGAAACATCTGATTTCTGAAAAAAGTCTGGAAAACATCTATTGTTAAGAAATGCACCAAATTATCAGATATGATGGGAAGAGAAAGGATATATTATGATAATATAAGTGAGTCCTTATCATAAGCAAATAATATGTACACAGTTTCTCAAAGTAGAGCATCTCAGAGATCTTGCCTGATTGTTTATGGAAAGCCAATTAGTAAATAAAGGATTCTAGAGTTAAAAATAAACCATAAAGGAAAAATAAACCATGAAGAGGAAAATATTCTCACATGACAAGAGATATGCAGATAATGGGCTTACAGTACTCAGCATTATAAAAACTGAATTAGAAGCCGGGCTCGGTGGCTCAGCCTTAATCCTGCGCCTTTGGGAGGCTGAGGTGAGTGGATTGCCTGAGCCAGCGGGTTCGAGACCCGCCTGGGCAGCGAGACCTCATCTCTACAATAAATCAAAAAATCAGCCGGGCGTGGTAGCGCGTGCCTGTAGTTCTGGCTACTGCGAAGGCTGAGGCGGAAGGATCACCGGAGTCCAGCTGGCGAGGCTGCGGTGGCCAAGAGCGGCCACTGCACTCCAGTCTGGGCGACTGAGTGAGACTCCAACTCAAAAAAAAAAAAAAAAAAAACTGAATTAGAGATGCTGCCTTGTAAAGGTCTCTTTTTTGACCTGGAAATCAACGCCATTGTTCTATACCGTCAACTCTCAAGGACTTGTGGCCTACTATTTCGCTTCCTCATGTATTGTAATTATGCCATATGAAAAACAACATTCTCTGATGGCTTTTAACACCAGATCCTGTGTTCTAAATCATCTTGCAGGCTGCTACATGACTTTCACTTTCTTATAGGTCAGCACGAATCAAAATGTTCACCTGCTCAAAACAACGAATTCAAGATCAGTGACAGCATGGTCTTTTGGGTACACTATCAAAGTATGGTCACCTAAATATATGCCATTCAGAGACAATAAAATGCTTATGACAGTGCACTTTATTTGGGTGTGAAGTTTTTACAAGATGTCTAAAAACATATCCTAACACTATTTAGGTTTCAGGGCATCCACAAAATAAGCAGAGAAGACTGAATAAGAATAGCCTATCTTGCTTCCTTGCCTCACTCCACTAATGATGAAAGTTACTTGCACATGCACCCAAAGAGCTATATACAAAAAAAATTTTACTTCAAAATTTTTAGCAAGGAAAAAAAAGGAGAAATAACCTAAATCCCTTAGTAAGGAAACAAATAAAAAATTATGGCACATTCACACAGTGAACTGCTCAATGAATCCGAGACTTCTGCTGCTGGCATAATGAAGAATACATACCCTGAACACTCCTCCTGATTAAAAACAAAGCAAAAAAAAAAAAAATCTATATACATACATACACACACACACACACACACACACACACACACACACACACGGGGATCCAACAAAAATGGAATTTATAATAAATTGTGTATTTATTCTTACATATTTAAACTTCAGTCACTTTCAAAATACTCTCGGTTTAATGCAATACAACTAACAAAATGTTTTCCACGGCTCAGAACAGTTTTTGAACGCGTCAATTTTGATGCCTTTTAGTACTTCCACTGTCTTTTTTTCTTGAGTTGGAACCTCACCCTGTCACCCAGGCTGGAGTGCAGTATCATGCTGACGGCCACGGCAGCCTGAACCTGCTGGGCTCAGGAGAGCCTTCCACTTCAGTCTTCCAAGAAGCTGGAACTACAGGCACGCGCCACCATGCCCGGTTAATTTTTTGATTTATTGTAGAGATGAAGTTTCACCAAGTTGCCCAGGCTGGTCTCGAACCGTGGGCTCAGGCAATCCTCTCATCTCAGCCTCCCAAAGTGCTGGGATTATAGGCGTGAGCCACCGTGCCTGGCTTATTTTTTTTTTTTTGAGTTGGAGTCCCACTCCATCACCTAGGTTGGAGTGCAATGGCACACTCACAGCCACCCCAACATCAACCTGC